GAATTTGGAATATGTTACTGTAACATAAGGTAGAGAATCTGTTAAAGTTTGTATCCACCATCGTTAGAAGAATTGATGGCTTTGTATGGGATAGCTTTTTTTCTATTTTTGTAACTGTCATGGCTACCGTTGCGGTTCGGAAGTCTTATTTCAGACGTCTGTCTATTTATACATACTTTCAAGTGACTCCATAAAAATGAATCTCTATTTCTCTTCGTCACCACGTCCATAATATTTAGGAACAAATACATTAAGTTAAATAAGAGAGCAGATTTTAGCTGCCTAAAAAATTTCTTAGGATCACCATTAACAACTGATCCACTGATGAGAAGAGACCCTATCTTATGTAAAAAGGCATATCTATCTAATCCCCTCACTTGGCAGACGGCTGGAAGACCGAAGTTAGATTACAGAAAGGTAAGAAAAGGCTGCAGTCTGTGCTTTGAAAGCTGTTCACAGATTTTTTGGACATAACTGGGTACAGAAAGTATAAAAGAGGAGTGGCGACACTTTGACAAAATGATAGACGGCAGATGTCGCATATATACGATCAACGACACATATCAAGGTATGCCATCACAAAAATCCTACATCAAGAAGTTTAGAAAATCCCAACGAAACTGTTGGGCAGAAAGCCCGCCAGGCACAATCACCTCGACCGAGCTTACGGCGCGTCGCGTTCCGCGCGCGCCTTAAGGAGCCATCAGACCACCACAGATCCCCAACTGTGCCCAACATGGCTGATGCCGTTACGGAGCCGCGGAAGACTTAACGGGTTGCTGGGTCTCCAGATCGAAGTGCAGGAGTAGGAACGGGGTGGTTTTTAGTCAGCAAGAGTCTGACACTCCACAACATTGGACGATTTTCCCCAATCAAAAAAAAAAGGCACAATCACCTCGACTGGTCGGATGATCCTCCTTTTCCGATCTTAGGGAACCATACTCTATGATCCCTATAGAACTTTTTTCTTAAGTTCTGCAGTCTCTAAAATAATTTTCTATCTGTGACGTTTACACAAATCTAAAATTAGTCGCCATGAATAGCTTGTGACGTCACAAAATCCAGTTCCAAAGACAAACAGGTGTGTTACGTCTTAATTCCGTCATTCATACAACGATATACATTTTAAATGTTGTTTAAACGCCGCGACTTTATTTATGTTTCAAACTATGACTATGTTATGAGTACTTGAGTCGTGCTGTTTATGTATCTACGTATTTCACGTTGATATATATAATGTATAAGCTACTTCCGTGCGGTTTCACTCGCTCTGATCGGCGCCTATTAATCGTAGCGTGATATTTTATAGCCTTCCTCGATAAATGCGCTATCTATTGGGATGATGACAGGGTATGAAAATTAAAAATCTAATTAGTCCGTAAGTTAAGTAATGAAAAAATATTAGACACGTATTTTTTTATTTTGTTGTAAGTATAAGAAAACAATCCTTACTAATATTATAAATCGGAAAGTGAGTCTGTTTGTTCTGCTTTCACGCAGTAACTATTAAACCGATTGCATTGATTTTTTGCAGACGTAAAGTAAGAAGTCCGGATTGAATAATAGGGTATTTTTTTCCCGGAAAAATTTGATATTCCCGAGGGAAAACAAAATTATTGGTATAGATGACGCTGTGTGTATTGGTATATGTCACATAAGCAATTTACTTTTTATCCTTTTGTGACGCGAGCGAAGCCGCGGGTAAAAATTTTGTACTTAGATAAACCGAATCAAAGTTTAGGAGTGGGGGCTAAAACGTCATTTCTACGTATAAAATGTACATAGAAGTGACGTCACGCGACATTTAAAACAATATATCGTCGAAAGTATTCGTTTCTGTAAAATAATCTACCAGACGGACATTAAAATAAAAATTAGGCATCTACCCTATTCAGGAGACAACTAAACTATTCTATAATCAAATGATTCACCACTTGCTCCTTCAACTACCCGCATCGTCACACCTCGTGAGAGGTCAGCAACCTTTACAAATGCGTTCAATTAGACTATGTATCAAATAACCACATTCCAGATAGTCTAGTAAGTATATCTTTTGTTTTTATTTCGAGCTAAACGTGTAAACAAAAGTTTATATAGGGAGTTCGAAATAATTAATGGAAGTTGAGCACATATATGCATTTCATGCTAGAAATCCGTAGAAACCCCTTTTATATTACAAATAGAAATAATTTTTAAGGGAAGCAAATGAGCACAGGGGTCGGTTCAAGTAATTCGCGCCGTGTTCATAAGTGATCAGCGCCGCCCACGAAATTGGCTCCCGAGTCACGAGAAGTACAATTCTAGTACTAGTAGAAATTATTTTGACACTTTTAAGGAGAATGTATGATTATAGGTCCCAGGCAAGGCATGAAATGAGTAGTAATTAGTCAATCATATTAAAGTATTAAATTAATATAGTGCGATCATCACTATGTATACTTGTTTTTATAATAACTATCGTGAGACATACTAGATTAACTAAAATCGCGGGTTACTCACGTGAATATACAGAGAAAATATCAGTGAGCTGCGCGACATCGCTGCGACCGCGCACGCTGCTCATGAGGAAGAACCCTCTGTGGTTCGAAACTAATAGAGCTTTTCTCAATATATTCACGTGAGTAACCCGCGATTTTTAGTTAATTTACTATGTATTCTTGTTATTCTAAGATTAGAACATAATACAAAAGGGTTTTAAGTTGTAAAGATTAGGTATCTGATTTTTAAGATTAGGTATTGTTTGCGTCAGTGTTAAAATATTTCAATTTCTTTTGTTCGAATTTAAAATACATTCAAGATATTTCTGTAAAATGAGAGAGGCGTAGCATTTTATTACTGTTGACGTTACATCGTTAAATAAAGAGAATAACCACAGAATATTTGCTACATGCTTGTTTAGTGTCTATTTGTGGTCTGTCCTTTTTGAAGAACAAACGATCTTTTATTGGAATTCCAACCTACAATGCAATTTTAATACTTTTATCTTTTGCGTCTTTCGTTTTTCGGCCAAATTCGGTCGAACGTCAATAGTTTATTAATACACCTATTATTATTTCAAAATCTACTTAATTATTTTTTAAGGGGGGGAAAATCATCGAATGTCTTCTCCCGTTTCGGTGAGGCGGGAGGGAGTGTCAGACTCTTACTGACTAAAAACCACCCCGTTCCTTCTCCTGCACTTCGAGCCGGAGCCCCGGTAACCAGTTAGGTTCTCTGCGACTCCTAATCGGCATCAGCCCTATTGGGACCCATCCGTGGTGGTCTGATGGCTCTTTAAGGCGCGCGCGGAACGTCGTCGTCGTCGCCGTACGCTCGGGGAAATCGACTTAAGTATAGATTCAATTTAAGAGGTAAATAATTGAGAAAATGCAGCCAAGTCTAAAACTGTACCTTTTATGCAGGTTTACCCAGGAAATTCAAGCAGGCAAAACCGTAGGAAAAGTAGACAGCAATCGATACAGTTCCCTGGTTTTCTCAGTAAACAGTTAAGATAAAACTAAGGTTTAATAACAATAAATAAATGAGAAACTAGGTTACACTACAACTACATTCGAGTATGTAGAACAATGTTTATTCATTCTGTTCTCTTTGATTTAAGTGTCCTAAATAATTGAAAACGGCGATTTTAAATATAGAACTGTGTATATATTCATATATAACCTGTTTTTTAAACTGAAATATTATGTGTTACATTACATCTATTATTTGATTAGTTTCATTTTACTGTGATATAGGTACATTTCTTTTTTTTTGTCATCTACTATTGTAATTGTCTGATTTTTCTTTATGTTTTTTAAATGAATTTTAATTGTATTATTTTTTTACTGTGATGTTTCTTTATGTGTTTAATTTTTTTTTCTCTTCTTTTCTGTTATTGTAACTGTTTGATTCTCTTTGATTTCTCTTTGTATGTGTGTTAATGTAATTGGTGTAAAGCCGTGTTAACATCACAATAATAAATAAATAATAATAAATAATTAGACACATATGATTGTCAGGTCTTGTAATTGATGTTCGGATAAAACAAAACTTTTTTAGATTCAAAGTATCTGCCCCTAACCTCTCCAATCCCGGAATGCCCCAATCCTCAAATACTTAAGCCCCCAAAAGGTCGGCAATGCACTACTAATTCTTCTGGTTTATCAGATGTTTATGGTTATTTTAAGGGGGGGGAAATCATCGAATAACTGCTCCCGCCAGGGTGAAGCTGGAGGGAGTGTCAGACTCTTACTGACTAAAACCACCCCGTTCCTTCACATGCACGTCGAGTCGGAGCCCTGGTTACCCGTTAGGTTCTCCGCGATACATGTTTATGGGCTGTGCCCATTGCTTAACACCAGGTGATCCGTATACTCGTTTGTCGGCTTGTACTATAAAAATACATCTGATATTTATTCATTCAGTTGCTAAATACCTCAGCAAATAGTTTCACTATCAGTAGCCAATATTTATATAACTACTGAGACTTGTAGAGATTTCTCTTTCTGTCAGCTTTTCGTATTAAAAAAGTTCACTAACTTGGAATACGCATTTAGATTTAATGTTTAGTTTTTGACAAAATCATGGGACTGCGGATGGAGTTTCTTGCTCTTCTCTATTTGAATCTATATCTCTAGAACGAGCACCTAGCTTCACCGACGGACTGACTGACAGACTATTATTTATTTTGTATTTGTTGACGTTTCAAAAGTACCATGTTATGGTTTAATTGAAATAAATTTGGCTTTGACTTTGACTTTGCATGGTTCGGGCAGTGGTTGGCCAACTGACTCCAGATTTGATCATCCAGTTGATCCATAAATTGTTTTTTCAAGTTAGTACTTCTTTGAACTTTCCAGTGTTTAAAATATAATATAAATTGTTAATTTAAAATAGGAAAAAGAAGTAAAAATCACGTCACAGACAAAACGACTCCAAACTTTACATACTTCTATTGACACATGTTTACAGTTTGTCAACACAAAATGGCGGTTTAAAATAAATCAAAACAAAACACTCACCTCCTCTATGGACGATGACATAAGACCGGAACTGTAACAAAAATATATAATGTTAATACAAGCACTTGTGACTTGTGACGTAGAAAAATGCAGTAGAAGTGGCATCTGGAAAAGGAATTTTAAGATTGATTGGACGCGGGTTGATTTATAAATATGTAGGTACATTCTAGCTAGATAGAGATTATATAGCATAACATAATAGTAGTGACACATATTTAGCTATTTGGGTACGATGTAATTAGGTATATGGGCACCTCTGTGTAACTGATAACATAACTGGAAAAAGGTGGTACCTTTTTCTTAAACTGTCAAACACCAAGCGGTCACCGGTGACCGCAACCTATTGCTCTATAATTGTGTCTATAATGACGGTACTCGACGAGTTAATCAAATAATTCTTTTTTTTCTATTCCAAATTAGAACAGAGCCACGCTATTTGGTACCAGGAATTGTTTGCAGTTTACGTATCTATGTATTTACTAAATAAAAAAAAAACGCAAGATGACACTGCTGTAATAAATACGAAGAGTAAGAATATTCGTAAAAATTGGAACGCCTTGGAATGAGCAAATAGCTGCACTTTTGAATTGTTTTTGACGTTCAAAAGTGCCTTTCTGGTCTAATTGAAATAAATGATACGACTTTGAACGAAAGATTTCAAGATGAATGATGACAGATGATCTAAGTATCCTAATTTAGAGATGTCAATAATAGTGACTACTGCAATTCGTGATTGTTATCATAACATTAATTAATAGAGTAATGATATCATTTTTCATACCAAATCTGTATCAGGGCTTACTTACGGCTTGCAGGTCCTACACACTTCGTAGCTACGTTTACTAAAATTATTACACAATAAGGTAGATGACTAATTCTTATTTTAATGTCCGTCTGGTAGATTATTTAAAATCATTAGACACGTATTTTTTATTTTCTTACAGAAACGAATAGTTTCGAAGATATTATATTGATTTGAAATATCGCATGACGTTACTTTTGAGTACGATTTATACTCTAAAATGACGTAGCTACTCCCCACTCCTATATTTTAATTCGTTTTATCTAAGTATTGTTTTCTTATACGACAAAATAAAAAAAATACGTGTCTAATATTTTTTCATTATCAAACTGACGGACTAATTACATTTTTAATTTTCATACCCTGTGATGACAGGGTATGAATTATTATTAATTATTATCATCTGTTAAAAATTGCCCCTCTAGATATCACAATGATTAATAGTCTGGTAAGAGATTTCAAAGTTTTTACCCAGTTTTTTTTTTATTATGGAATAAACAATTGATTTTATCGTCAAAGCGGGAAATATAAACTGAACTGCAAAACTGAATGAAAATGTCTATGGAGGTTTTATTAACTGAACTGAATTAAAAATTAAAATACTTTAAAATAATATGTAAGGACACTTACCAACACCACAGCGAACATTTTTTATTATCCTTAGGTTTTTCTTTCGACATTTTCAACGCACACACGATAACCACACTAGGCGGCCATACTAGTTTTAAAAAAAAGAACTGTCAACTTTCACAATAATAATTCACTATGGTCACATGTGCATGGTAACCTGTCAAATTCGTACAATGTGTTGTCGACTTTAGTACATAGGTATAAGGTTGATGATCTGTTAAATAGTTGAGTTAATTTAGGGTAGGTTGAAGTGCTGTTGTTTCTACAGTTTGTATTATGGTAATTAAAACGTTAATTACAGTTTTACATAAATTAGATAGTCGTTTATTTTAACGTCCTGTGTCAATGTATATTTTTGGCGGTGAAAAGTCTATTTAGTTGATGATTATATTTTTTTTTACATATCATATTATTACGCCTTTTTATCCCCGAAGACGCACATTACGGCACTTGATGCCACTGTACAATGTAACATCCACTTTTCACTATTTATGTTATGAGTCCCATGTAATAGGCGGTGAGCCTATTGCCATATACCGAGCACAATTCTAGACTCCGTGCTATTACTGAGATTTTTTTAAACCCAGTAATACTTTGCCCGACCCGGAAATCGAATCCAAGACCACTTGCTAAGTAGTTGCACTTGCGACTACTCGGACAATGAGACGGTCACTATTTTTTTTTAATGTCTATAATTACTTAAATCGTTGTTTATGGTGCTTAAAAGAAATACATACTTACTCAAATACACTCCTTTTAATTTGTTGTTAATTAAAAAGTTATTTGTCGCCTATATTGAAACTCAATATCTAATGACACGACTACGACACTACTAAAAAGAAAAAACTGCATTTCTATGCACCTATGTACTCTTTAAAAAGAAAACAATCATGTCAAGCATGTAATGAGGTTAGACCGTACACACAGACAGGCAGGCGTCGTTGTATTGTAATGAGTCGCCTTATTGTTTCCTAGTAGGTTAAGCTACCTAGGAATATTAATTAGTTTTCTATTTAATTTTGCAATAAATCATAGTAATCTGTTATTAGCATAATTTTGTTTGTTTATTGTTCAGTAGGAGTAGCTTATTCAAGTGCTTATATACAGTGGGGCTCCGACTTGAAGCAAGAATAGGAAAGGGGGTGGTTTTTAGTCAGTAAGAGTCTGACATTAGATAATGTCAGACGTTAGAGGGAAGATTCCCTCAGCCAACGCGGGAAAAGGCATTCAATGAATTTCTCCCCTTAAAAAAAGGTGTCTACAGACATTTGTTTTGACCTACAAAACGAAACCAAAGAAATTATAATTGAGAGAAAATAAAAACTTTGAGTTTTACTAGTCCTATTGGTTCTATACATGTATGGCATAATTGCACACTATATGGCATAATTGCCAAACACCAAGCATAATGGTGAAGTCTTATAATATCGAAATTAGTTTATTTTAGACAACACTCACTTCTCAGTGATGTATTAGTCCCATGTGATGAAGGGACTGCCTCATTGGCCGAGTGGTCGCAAGTGCGACTGCCGGGCAAGGGGTCTCGGGTTCAATTCCCGGGTCGGGCAAAGTATTACTAGTTTTTTTTTAAATCTCAGTAGTAGCAATGTGCCCGGTATATGGCAATAGGCTCACCCCTATTACATGGGACTTCTAAAATAAATAGTAGAAAGTGGGTGTTACATTGTATAGTGGCATTAAGTGTCGTAATGTGCACTTCTGCCTACCTCTTCGGGGATAAAAGGCGTGATGTTATGTTATGTTATGTTGTGATGGAGGGTGAGCCTATTGCCAACTACTAAGAAACATATTTTTGTTTATTTTTAACATAAAATATAGGCGTAACCTAACAATTTGGCAAAAACTTATTTAAAGCCCATTAACAAACGACCTAGTTACAGATTGACTAAAGTTCAAATATTTAATATCCATGCTTAAACCTAAAACAAACGAAATATAAGACCTATTTTCGTATTTCACACTTCCCAAATTAAAGCTAAACGCATTATTCAGTATTTTCCCTAAACAAATATCAATTGTATAGGTAGCGTCATCCTCGCTAATTATACTAGTAGTAGGCACTAATCTGGGCACGCTGTCACAATATTTAAAGATGAACACATTCATAAAAAAAATATTTATACTCTATGGTCATCTCACTGGCAACATCATTGTACTTCTTTGTGCACGACCTGTCACGTCGTACCCTGGAAAATTTTTCAATTTAATTTGGTGATTTTCCTACTAAATGGGTCGAAAACGTCGCAAGCAGATAGGAAAACTGATGGAGTGTATGCAGGAATTGGATAATTGGGCGAAACCGGCGAGAGGACGCATTCGTTGTCGTCAGTTTGGTAAGTTTTTTCTTGTAGGTACTTACACCACATTGTGGGGCGTTTTCCAATAGCTTCCACAAGCGGATAGCCTTGAGAATGATTGTGTACGCAACATACACACTTGAAACGTACCATAAGAGCCCTCAGGAGAGGTGAGCCATTGGTTATACGTTTTCTATATACCTAGATTAAACCACAAGAGCCTTCACGAGAGGTCGGCCGTTGGTTACACGTTTACTATAGATCGAAACCACAAGAGCCTTCACGAGAGGTTGGCCGTTGGTTACATGTTTACTATAGATCGAACCACAAGAGCCTTCACGAGAGGTTGGCCGTTGGTTACATGTTTACTGTAGATCGAACCACAAGAGCCTTCACGAGAGGTTGGCCGTTGGTAACTCTACTATAGAATTAACCACAAGAGCTTTCACGAGAGGTTAGCCATTGGTTTACTTGACTTTGGAACGAACCACAAGAGCTTTCACGAGAGGTCAGCCGTTGGTTACTTGACTTTGAAGCAAACCACAAGAGCTTTCACGAGAGGTTAGCCACGGGTTTAAGTCACATTTAGTCAAACATTTCCAACTGCAATCCTAGAGCTTTCACGAGAGGTTAGCCGTGGATCATTTAAACTACCTTGCAGTTAGAAACTTAAAATCAGTTCGCTTTGCCTCAGAAGAACATGAAGCCATTCCAGTTGAAGCCGCTCACCATGGCATGGCACCGAAGCCAATCAACATGAGTTGGAAACTACTCCTATAGTCTCGCTCCAGTCAGTAAATATACTCCGGAGCAATTGCTACCTATGCTTATGGGAAATGGGACATTTCCTTAGCCAGCTATTCCATAGTGTTGCATGTTGGACAAAGCCATTCTTATCAAATGATTACACTTATTTTCCCTTTTCATAATTATTATAACCTAATTCCTCCCAATGTCTCAAATAAATGAGGAGGGGAGGAGGTGCCACTAAATAAAGATGGGATTGAGTGAGACGATAGGATTGTGAATATCAAATGACTCTAGGAGCAGTTACTGTTCGCAAATTAATTAACAAACCTATTAAAGATTTTAAGGATACAGCCAGACTGCTCTGTAAATTATTAACATGTGCCCCTGAATGAAGATCAGAACACAAATAGGTGTTCTAGCTATATATACAGTAATAAATAGTGCTTCAAGACAAGTTTATTGCAAGTAAAGCTATCAGAGAGTCTAAACTTGAATTGGAGAACATCCAAGAAAACCTTTTAGACTACCAAC